CTGCACTGCACTGCACTGCACTGCACTGCACTGCACTGCACTGCACTGCACTGCACTGCACTGCACGCGCCACTCTTCTTGCCACGCCCCATACTGTAGTTGTACAAGGAGGTTCAAAAATTGTCGTACTTTTGTATTTGTGAAATAATACTGAAAATTGGACTTTGGTATTGGTGTATTTCAGTCTATTCGTACTCAATATTTACAAAACAAATAATTTGGAGTCTTTGTTGAGAAAATTATGAAAATATCCTAACGGCTTTGATGGTAAAGTTGTGGCGTATCGTGGTATACCAGTTTACGGGTTCAAAGCAGTGGATTTTTAAAGGCGAAAAATACTTTGTACGCCTTCCTTTAGAGCGTTGTTCCATGTTTTAGATTTGCTGCAAGGAAAATATTCTCAAGCGTGAATGAAACCTCTGAGCTAAATTTAAATCGCCTGTTTTGTCGCCCGTCTGATACCTTCATTTTCCGCTAGATGGTGAAAGGAGCAAAGCGAAATGTTACGTACATTGTTTTCGATTTCTGATTTTTCAAAATTGACAACATTTTATCGCCATCTTCTACAACTACAGTTATGAAAATAAACATTTTTCTTTAATAAAATGCAGCTCACATCAAAAGCTGATATAAAATGTGTTCATCAATAGCCTAAAAATAATATCTTCAATTATTTTTAACATTGAGTATTTTGTGTCGAACATAGGCAGTTTTTGTTTTTAAACAATTTTTTCTTAAAAACGGCTCAAAAGTTTTTGATTAAATTTCGGCCTTAGATAACGTAAAGGTCGCTTAAGAGATTAGTGCAAGACTCATGTTCGTTTAAATGCCTGATTTTTCGAAAATAAAAAAACAAAACTTTTTCGGCGCCTTACTTTAAACTACAATCATGAAGATAATTTTGTTTCTTTATGAAATGTGTTCGTAAAAAACATCTTCAAATAAGGTCAAGTTGAATTTTCCTAAAATATTTTTTTAAATTCTTTGGCACCAAACATAGTCGCCCGCTCCGAACATCCTGCGCTTCGTGAAGGTAATGAGAAATGATTCCAGGAAGATGGATGCTACGCAAGTTAAAATTTGTACATTATTTCACATTTTTTGTTGTTTTTTACATTGGAGCTTTTGTTGTATGTTGCAAATTAATCTTCTGAAAATTCTTTAAATCCTATTTGAAATGCATGAAATAAAATTTGCTAGCTTTCAGGGAATATCAGATTGGAATGCAACAATGTCAATCCGCGACGCGATTCGTCAGACGAATTTCTGTGAATTACGTACGTCTCATTGTTGTGACATGATTTAGCTGTATGAAAAGCAGTTGTAATTGTCAAATTTGTGTTGATATCTGCTTGAAAATATTTAGTTTTCGCATTTCCAAATGTTCTACGATTTGTAATGAGTTTTATAAAAAATGACTGACATGTGAGATGCGTTAATTTGGAGAGAAATTGTGGTGTAAATAGTATTACATAACCATTACTAGAAGGCAAGAGAGTACGTGCTGTTTTAGCACTAATAGTTCTCTCGCTTTGTATTTCAGAATGGATTGACTTGAGAAGTGAACATCTTTTATTTTAGGAACCGCATTATATTTTTCCAACTGTAGTAATTTTTAAGAACAGTAATTTACTTAATTTTGATTTCAAAAGTAGGAAATTACTAAATTATTTATTATGTGTTATTTTTTTCATTTACTTATATCTAAATTTTATTTATGTTATTCTTTTTGTATTTTATATTATCCGTATCTTAATGTAGTTAATTATGCTAGATGATGTCCCATAGCAGTTCTCCAACATTAAAATGTTTGATAATATTGAAAATAATAGGTTTGTTTAATGGATTGCTCTCTGTTTCAGTGGGTTTGTTCTCCGCAGCAGCAGAATTTCCTCCGCATTAGGCGCCCAGCACGTCCGCAGCACCAACTGGTGAGTACACTTGGCGTGATGCTCTCTGCTCTGTGCGATTGAATCATCTGTTGCATGAAAAACAACATTAAAGCTGTACCCCCATTTCACGCTACCGCTTACGCAGTAGATATATAGTGCTCCGCGAAAGAAAGACGAATTAAACGATCAAAGTTTGCCGTTTAAGAACGTTTAAGAGAATGGTGCAGGTCTCATGTTCGTTGAAAACACTGATTTCTCTAATATTGCAAAAGTTCAAAGTGTTTTTCGAGTCTTCCCACAACTAAAATATTAAAGATACGTTTCCCTTAATTAAATCTGTTTCTTAAAGATATATATTGAAATAAGATCACGTATAATTTTTCGAAAATTTAAGTACGTTTCGCGATATTTTGCGTGAAAATACGGGCAAGAAGGGACGTGCTGCTTAAGCACCACTAGTTATAAACAGTAAATAACTGTCTCCTTAAGAGCCATGACAGCGAATTCGCTAGGACACGTTTGATAATCTGATAGAACCGATTTGAAAGCCCAAAATAGTTTGGGATTTTATTCCGGTCATATATATGCATAGACAGTCTAGACGAATTAGACTCAGGACGAATCAGACTCCTTTACAGTTATATATCAGCTAGGGAACCCACTAGAGAACTATCACTTGTACCCACCCTCTTCCCAATTTGTCCATTTCCATATTAAGCCTGTAATATATATTTTTCTTCAAGACTGTCTTATCCTCCGTCACTTGTTCTATATATCTCCTAGTAATTGATAACAATACAATACCCCCTTGTCAATACAAAATATTCTTATTTAACTATTTTTACCGAGCTGAGACACCCGTGTAATTCAGTCGCATAGAATATAAGAAATTAGTTTAATTTCGCATTCATTTGCAGTTTCTGCAGGTCTCTGAGCAGGTGGGATAATATTGAGAAGCACCGGACCAGCAAAAAATGTAATAAAATATTCAAAAAGATTTCATCGTGTAGATAACAGTGTGAGGAATGTTTTTTTTTCCAGCCGAAGACTTCAAAATGTTAGCTTTTAATGTCCTAGAACGCTTCGTTAAACTGTATAGATTTTTTTAAACTTATCCTTCAAGTTTTTAAAGTCAAAGTTCGTCACGTCCGAGAAGTTATTTTTCTTCAGAGAACTCATTTATAAAGAATGGTAGCGTGTGATAGCCGCATAAGGCACCGATACTACTGAAATAATATAATGTTAATTACTAGACACTATAATATTTTATTAAGTTAGTACCTCGAGAAGTTACGAGGTTGAAAAGTATAAAAGAGGAACTTGATGAATCATTAGGAATTAAAACGGATATAATGCTTCATTAAGGAGGGAGGAAGAACATTTCTTCTTGCCGTCGTTGTATCAAATTTCTTTCATTAATTTTTACCAGAAATAATATTTCGCCTCTATTCTATTTCAGCAATGTTATTTCTTGAACAAATTACGCTTAAACATTGCTACAAACGTGATTAACTCAAGCAATATGAAATTCCTGAAGGGTTATTTATGGTTAGTCTACAGTTATCATGACACACTGTTTTGCTACGCCATAATAAATTGAAGAATTCGTTAGTATTCTAACGACATTTCTCAAGCTTAGCAAGGCACTCTGTGTCACATGTTGAGCTGTGGCCCACTGCCCTCTGTGGCACGGGGTTACGCATTAGGGTCAACTACAGACTATGGAAGATGGATGATGACAGAGAGTCACGTCGCGTGATTTAAGATGTAAAGTGAAGCCGAGGAGTCTTTTGACGCAAGCACCGGCACGCTGGGAAAGTATGTGGCCTTCTCTCTAACAAATTAATGGCTTCCAGGGGGGTTGTGTGTTGATCCTAGGAAATAAACATGTTGATCCATGTCTAATTATAAACTATGAATTGATTGCACACTTTGGTTGTTCGCGTATTCTTTTTTGTTTCCCCTCTGGCCAGAAAATGTTTGCTTCATAGGAATTGATTTAACTTATGTGACAGTTGAATAACAAAAACACAAAAAGTAAATAATTTTAAAAAAAGTCGTAGTCATAATGGAACTAAAAGGGAACGTTACAGTACTATCATTCTTTTTAATAAGTAGAAATAAGGTAAGCTCACAGGTTCCTTATTATTGTCAATATCTTTCCAATGTATTTGTTTGTTTAATATTCGTATTGTTTGTCATTTGTGAAAGATTTATGGGGGGGATAGAAACACATTAATACTACAAGATCGGTTAATCGGTTTGTTTTGGTATCCAGCAATAGGAATTACATTTTTATCATAAGGATTTTTTTTATTCGTAATGTTATTGCCGATGAACCAAGGTTTGTATTGATCAGTTGTTAATGTGTTATTAAATAGACTAATGAGGAATGTTTACGTTTAAGCGGATAGATTCCATTGTTAATTGTGGTTGTAGTTGTGTGTTTCTAATGAACAATGTTGCATTTACAGACATTCGCGGAATTTTGCTTTGGAAGTTTCTGTTTTATTTATATTTGTGGCAAATATGTTGTACCATATTATGTATAAATTATAACGGGGAGAATTATTGCTTTGTAAAGGACAAAGGCAAATCATGTTTTGAGAGCGGTTTTCAATCAATTAATGTATTCAGTTCATCTAGTTTTCTGTTTCCTTTAGAGAGACCGTGCTAGTCTGGAATCCATTAATACTTCAAGATCGGTTAATCGGTTTGTGTTTTAGTATCCAGTCGAGTGTTTGATCAAATAATTTTAGTGTTATGGAAATTGACGTTATTTTGGGGTTTACATTTTTTAGGGTTTAATTTTATTTTTCATTTATCTGTCTATGATGTTATTTTGTGAAGTTCTTGTAGATTTTCTGTATATGTTTTGAGGCAGTTGTGAGAAGTTAATTTCGCACTATCAGCGAATAGCGCGGTTGTATTTTGAGTTGTTGGAAAAGTAGCTGTGAAGATATTAAATAACATTACTGATAAGGGACTGCACTGTTGTACTTCTACTATAATTACGTTTTGTGTTGAATAGTTAGCAATTATTCTTGCTGAAAATACTCTTAGTTTGAAAAAGCTTTGTATTATATTCGCTAAGTAAAGGGGCAATCCTGATTCTTGTAATTTGCATATAAATCTGTCGTGCCGAACTTTGTCAAAAGCTTGAGTTATATCCAAAAATACTGCTAAAGAATGCATTCTTTGTTCACAATTTCTACATGTTAGTTGAGTAATTCTTAAAAGTTAGTGTGTCGTGAAGTTTTTTATTTGAAACCAAATTGGAAAAGTGGTATGTAGGATATTTCATTCGTACATTTTGGCAGACGCTTTATAATGCAACTTCTCAAGTTCTTTTGCTACAGTGGGCTATGGGGATTAGACTTATACGTTTTAGTTTTCCGTGAATGCTGGTTTTTGTCGGGATTTGGATACAGGCATTACTGTAGAGTGCTTTCATTGTGCAGGGTTGTGACCTATTATTAAACATTGAGTGGAATGAAGTTATGTTACGAAGTCCGTCTGCCCGTCCCGTCCTTCTATCCGTCCGGTGTCTGCAAACACTACTAGCGCCTAAACCATACGTAGGATTTTTTCCAAATTGAAGAAACCCCTGTCCATCTGGCTCGAGTCCAAACATTGAAATTTTGAAAAACATTCTTCAAAATTTGGGGGTACTTTACATGAAACTCTCCGGACATTTTCAAAATTTTCTCAAAAACTGTTCCAAATTTTTTCTTTAAATTTGTTGTTAGAATAAAGTAACATACACCTATAGACGTGGCATTGGTCCGATTTTCACGGTTTACTCGGTTTTCAAAACTTCAAAAGTATGAATTGTTTCCGGTGTCTACAACTACAAAATTGAAGATAGAGATTTTTCCCTCAAATAAAATTTGTTCTCCGTAGTGAGTTCTTTTATTAGGGTGTGTACATTTTTTTGATAATTTTAATATTTTTCGCGCACTATTGCTTGCAATTTGTGCAGCTTTAAAAAATTACAAAAAAACAGATTTTCTCCAAAAGTCTCCATTTTCTTTAAACTTTTGGTTGGAATAGGGCTAAATGTACTCTATAAGATGGCATAAACGCTATATTACTGTATTCTTTTGTTTTTTTCTGAAATTATAAAAATGTAATTTTTTGACTTGTCTCTCATGATAATATTTATATTAGCGGCAATTTGTTCACTTTATTGTATTTATAAGTGCATGTTCTTTAAATAATGTCACGTAAAGCCTCTCGAAAACTCAACCCTTTTCTGTGAAAACTAGGTCAAAATTCCTCATTTTTAGAAACGCTCAATCTCCATTTTCTCAAACACTGTTCCAATTTTTTTCTTCACACATTTCGAAGGGATAATGCTAGTTGCACTCTTTAGTATGACGTAAAGTTCATTTCTGTGTATTTTTTGTTATTTAAAAAATTACACAACTATATTTTTAAAGATTTCTCATACCGTTGATATGCAATATTTGTGAGTGCTTAAAATGACTTCAAATCAAGTTTTTCGAAACTCATAAATTTACTGTGAAAAAAGTGCTTCAAATTTCGAATTTACTTACTTCGTAAGAAGAGAAAATAATGCAATCGCGGAAAATGGCGAATTTTTGGTAGAAAAAAACGTTTATTGCCGGCCTCTGGTAACGAAAAAGTGGATATCTCCTTTTGCTGCATATTGTGTGTTACTTCCTCTATGCATGTCTTGTGGATCCTTCATACCGAAAAATTGATTGGCGGTAAAACGTTTATCCTTTGGTCAACTAGCACCTAAACCGTTCAGCCTATTTTCTCCAAAATTGATATTCCTCAATCGATTTGAACGAACTGGAGGCTTGGGGAGTTTCAGACGGATCTTTTGATTTTTGAGGGTGCTTTACATGAAATGCCTCAAAATCATTTGTTTTATCATACATTTTTTCAAAAGTGACGCCAATTTTTTTTATTGAACTTTTCTTCGGATGGTGTAAGTGACACGTGGAGAATGGTGCAAGTATCATGCTCGTGTAAATCTCAGATTTTTTGCAAATCAAAAAAGTGCGCTT